GTTAAAATTAATTTAACACAGGATTTTATTTAGTATTTCTGAATCAGGAATTGAGTGGGTAAACCTAATACTTTTAACAATGAGTAAAGAGAGCATCAGTAAAGCCATTAACACTAGCAATTCATTTAGCACCGTATATTTAGCACCAAAACAGATATTGGTAGTTCACACTTAATAAAAACTTCGATTGTAAAGAAACCTCAAAATTGCAGCAAGGATAAGGTGGTTACAATATATTTCCAGCACCACTAACCAGTGAATTGTTAAACTCTCTAAGCTTTTGATTGACCTCTTATAAGTCAAACTTAAACCATGACATAATTTTTAGAAAATCATACATTTTACATGTGTTAAGTATGTTTTGGAAAATACAGTCTAAACTTGAATATCTTGCCCAAAACACACAATGACAATGTAGGAAAAAAAAAAAAAAAACCAGCATATAAAAGCAAAAGTTATTTTAAACATTGATAGAAATCTAATTTTACACTTCGGTAGGTAATGGTTTCCACACATATCAAGGTTTGCATCCTATGAAACTGTGGTACCTTGAGAATATTGTTACACAAGGACAATACATAGACCAAAGTGGAAGCATTAGTTTCTTTCATCAACTAATTCAAATTATCTATTAAGATTAGGCATTGATTTAAGAAACAAGATAAGAACGCGAAACATCTAAACTGGCTTGAAATATGTATTCTATTTATTTATGTCAATGTTATAAGTTGACTTAACAAAAACATGTATATTATTGTTGTTCTGTGTTGTTGAGTCAAAATCGACTCATAGAGACCCCATGTGACAGACTAGAACTGCCTCCCAGGGTTTTGTAGGCTGTAATCCAAATGGAAGATCTTAATGGTTGATCACCAGGTGAATGGCATCTCCAGATCTCCTGGGTAATCACTCAGTGGGTTCAAACTGCTCAGTAGCCAAGTACTTAACCATTGTGCCATCAGGCATCCTTCAGAAAAATGCATGCTTTTATTAAAATGTTCTGGGTAAATTGCATTGGTTGAACTCATAATTTTTGGTCCTCTGTGATAGAACTGCAAGGAACTTTCAAATAAACTGTCCTTTTACTGCCAAACGAATCTGCAGGGAAATTCTGCTGGGCCACCAAAGTGATGAGGCTTACAACACTGAAAAGATGCAATACTGATAATGATAACCATTCTGCCATATTTAAGAGCAAGTATATCTATCACAACCAGGAATGTTTAAACTATGTCCACATAACTCTCACATGCTATGAAAAAAAAAAAATCTATCAATTTAGTAGCTAAAATAAAAATTTTTCTAGTCCTTTGATGATGTGGAGGACAAAATATCTATATTATGACAGATTAAAAGAAAAAATTTCTACTGACTAAAGGGTGGTAAGGAGCTCTGATTGTGTAGTGGATAGGGCACTTGACTGTTAACCAGATGGTCAGCAGTTCAAACCCATCAGCTGCTCCATGGAAGGAAGACTGGGAGATCTACTTCCATAATGATTTACAGCCTCATAAACCCAATGGGGGGTCACTACGAGTCAGAAACAACTTGACTGCAGTGAGGGTTTTTTTTTTTTTTTTTCCAGTTTAAAAGGTGATAAGGGAGCCCTGATGGCCTGAAGGTTAAGCTTTTGGTGATTACCTGAAAGGATGATGGCTTGAATCCAGCCAGAGGCTCTTCCAGAAAAGGATACCTGACAATAAAGACTTCTGTAAAGATTACAGCCTAGAAAACTGTAGGGAACATGTTTACAGTGCCATATGGGGTCACCATGAGTTGGAATTGATTTGACAACACCCAACAACAAGGTGAAGTTTGAAAAAATCTATAGCATAGAGAGAATCAATGCTGAAATGTATGCCAACCATAACTTCTTTTGAATGAAGCCTTTTCAAATGAAAACTTCAATGTTGACTATTTAAAGCTGCTCTTAGGAAATAGCTTATACCCAGACCCTCTGCCTCTGAAATGACAGTGAGAAATGGTTCTCCTAGCACCATTGTTATATACTGTGAAAAGTATCACACACTGTTGAGATTAGCAAACTCTCATTTGCTTTAGTCGAGAGAAATGAAACATTTCACATGACCATTTTGTATTAGCCACCTTAAAAAGTTCAGATAGAATAACAAATATACCCGTTATATTTTCATCTGACTTGTTAAATTATAAATAAACTTACAATTCTAGCCTTAATCTATGTTTGATGATTTATTTGGATTTTTGATATATTCAAAGCTTTATATTTAAGATATTTTTGTCTAAAGAAAGAATGTAAAGGTGGGATTTCTCTAAATTGTTGCAGTTATAGACTTTTTTTTTTTTAGCTAATTCTAAAAATCTATTCACATAGATATTTATTACATTACTGCCAACTATCTGGGAAGCTGGGATAAGTACAAAATTGAAAGAGACAGAGTTCTTGCCAAAGAGGAGCTCATGAAAAATTCAATTTTATCTCAAAAGTTGCACAATATTAATGATAATTTATCTATAAATTTCTATCAAGATGGTCATTTTACCTTCATAGAAAATTCTTTGAAATATGTAGTAAATATCATTATTCCTTTCTAAATCTGAAAAACCAAGCCAAACAAGCAAACTGAAACAAACAAACAAAATCCATCTTCTGTTTAATAGTACTTACTGCTCCTGTGTTTTCGTGTAACAAAGTTTAGGATGGAAGTACTTTTCTAGATAAATTAAGTGAACATCCCACCTATCAGCTTCCCCTTCAGTTGCCTAGATACATTACAGAAAAGCTGGGCTGGGCCTGAATTGTATAACTTTTTCAGTTTTCCTTTTAATTCTCCAAAAACATTTACTTGTAATAGGGGCTACACATGTGCCCGCAAAGGCAAAATAGTATGATATCAAAGCATTTGGTCATCATACTTGACTTGTAAAAGTCATCAGGCCAGTTGTTTGTCATCATGTAACCAATCTCCACATGACTGATTCTTCTCCATCAAATGGATTTAATTAGCTAGCAGTCAACTTTCTATGCACCCACCCTAAGAAATTGCAAATACGTAGGGAATTTTAAACAAGTAGCTTCCTCTTGCTATTTACCCTCTGAAACTAATCATATTTTCTTGTTCTGCAGTTCTATGGAAGCATTACATAACCTAAATAACAAGCACACATACATACACAAACACACATATAAACACACTCACACACACATGCATTTGAAAGGCAATGTGGTAAGGGTTTTGTCTCAGATGAGCTCTCCTCTCTGAAAGAGATTTTCTGAATGAGGAAGTTTTATATTTCCAAAATCATGAGTGAAGTTTTCACAGTGACTTTCACTTAGTAGATTTTCATAGTCAAAGTTGATGGAGAACAGAAAACTTATTCTTTTACTTGGGTTAGAAATATAGACCTTTAACAATCTAGGCTGATTCTAATATGAAAAAGATTGTCTGCACAGCCACTAAAGTATTGGATTCAGTGGTTCTAGTCAAGAGCAGTGCACAGATGATTTGAAAAAAAGGGAAAAAGCAGAAAAACTGTATCTCGTAGCCAACTCTGAAGAGCAAAGCCACTAAAATTAACTTTAATTTATGAAATCTTATCGTTAATCAATTTTCTTTATCCCAGGGGGAAAAAAGGTATATATCCAAAAATGTCCTTCTGATCCCCTTCTTGATTGAACTATTACTGGTCTAGGCAGTAGTCATGGGGAATGGTTACTGAGCTAAAGTCTCTGCCTTGAGCTTGAGAGTCAACTGTTGTTGTCAGTAGAAACAAAGTACTGTAATCAGTCCTTAGAAGAGCATCTGAAAAGGACTTCTTTGAAATCATTACAGTATTTGTTGTGGACAGCATCTTTACTACAATATTCAAAGACCCAAGATGGTAAATAGATTCTCACCAATGAAGACAAGCAAAATAATGAAGCAGATGGAAAACCCTCAGAAGCCCCACATGTTTCTTCCTGGCATCATTCACCTTCTCCTAATAGGTCTCAAGTTGTCCTAGACTCTCAGGTAAGCCCTACTGACCCTCCTAACCTGGTGTTTCTGTGTAACCACCTCATTTCTGTAACATTTCTTACCCACTCTTCAAATCTTACCTGTCCTGGCCCTCATCAGCTTTCTAATATCTTGCTTTTTGTTTTCCAAAGTAGCTTTCTACTTTGATCTAGTGTTAACTGGGTGGTTGTTAATCTTCCCTTGCCCTTCTAGTTTCAAGTACTGTAGCTAAAAGTTAATATTGGTTAGAAGCTTCAATATTACGTAGTATGGTATATCACCTCTTCCACCTACAAGTGTATACTTACTTCTTCAAAGCTACATGGAAATCTATTTGTTAAAAAATAAAAATTTTATAGCCAACTACTGGGTTGCATTATTTTCTGATTATTTTTCTGAGCTTTTTGTGGGCAGGAACCATATCTCATTATCTTTGCATTATCTTAACAAAGCTGTTGTTGTTGTTGTTAGGTGCCATCGAGTTGTCTCCAACTTATAGCAACCCCATGCACAGCATGTTTCACATGCTAGCAGAATGCTTTGTACAGTGTAAGCACACAATACATGATTACTGATTAAAAAAAAAGACTTAGCAAAAGTCCTAATTTGAAAATTTACATTAAGTTGAGCATATCCTTCCTTGACCTGTATTACTTACTTCCAGAGTGAAATCCTTCATTGCTTAGTTTAATTATTATTTTCAGATATCTCTGAGTGCTATTTTGCAAACTATATTGCTGTAGGTATTATAGAAATGGGGAACAATGTCCACCACCTCATACATATCTTATATATTTTTAAAATTTCCTTCATATTGACTATTAAATCATATTATTATCTCTGTGTTACTGCATATATGATGTGTGCATGTGAGACACCCATTGAAGGTTATTTTAAGAACATAATAACCTAATCCCTTTGGAAAGTAAGTTGGAATAGGATGCATCTGCTATGTCACCATGACACTTACAGTATTTTAACTTAGGCTTGGAGTTCAGAAATAGAAATGACATTTGATTACCTCAAAGAAATAAATGAGCATACTAAATAAACATTAATTTATACAAATGAATACCAAAAGAAAAAACAGATTATTATAAAATATGTATAATATGTGCAAAATTCAATATATATATATGCCTATGATTCCCAGAAACCACTATATTTCCTGGAGGAAAAGTTAAGCTTATTTAAACCAGTATAAGTAGTTTGACGTTACTCCTGGAAAACAAAGATTGTCAGTACAAGATCCTCCATAACTTGGAGGACAAGCTGAACATGGCACGCCTACTTTATATGGTGCTTCTCCAATCCAATTGCCCCTAGAAGAGAAAGAAAAGAAGATAGTATCAGTGCTTTTCACTCATTAAATTTTTTTAAAAATTAGATCACCCTTAAACACATAATCATATGTGATCATTTTTTGAGAATTTTATCGTTTTACAGAGGCACTAACAATTGTATCTATTTCTTTTTTAATAGTAACTTGTTCTATACAACTTCCACTCTAAGTTATTATCTTACTTTACAAGTAATGAGTTAAGACCCTACTATTTTGATGACGTTATATGTCATACGATGCCACACATTCTATGCTCATTTTCTCAACAGATTTGTCCCTTTCTACAGCAGCCTTCTGGAATGCATTAAAAATTTAAAAACACCAAATTAGCATCTAGTCGATTTCAACTCATGACAATCCCATGTGTGTCAGAGTGGAGTTACACGTCATTGGGTCTAGAGAACAAAATCGGATTATAATCACGTAAACTTACTTCTTCTAAAATCATGCTGATTCTCTAAAGATGCTAAAAACTACTCAATGTATCTTAGAAAAGATGGCATAAATAGGAAGCTATGATCCTACTGTCAACCAATTGCCATCCGGTTGATTAAGACACATAGCAACCCTATAGGACAGAGTAGAATTATCTCATAGAGTTTCCAAGGCCGTAAATCTTTAAGAAGCAGACTGCCTCATCTTTCTATTTGTTACATAACTTTTGCAATTATAAAGCACATACTTTTGGGAATCCAAGCTTAGAAATATACTTTATTATATTTAAAATTATTACATATGTTTATATTATACACTTTTACATAAATTACAAATTTTTGTTGTATAGAGGATAATTATATTCAGCAGTAAATCCATCAATTGATAAAATTATATTATTTATTTTTTTCTCTTTATTTTTTTCTGCCTAGTTAAATATTGTTTCTCTTCTTTTTTACTCCATAAAGAGTTGGGCGTAAGATATTTTCATTTTGACATTTGATTGAAGAATCATATTCAGCTATCAATCATGATTTCAAAACTTTCCCCACAACTTAGATTCTGGAAAAATGGTTCTTTATTATAACTATTATTATAACTATTAAAATGGTTCTTTATTATAACTATTATAACTTTATTATAATTATTAAGAGTTGGTGGTGCAGTGGTTAAGCACTCAATGGTAAACCAAAAGTTTTGTGGTTCGAACCCACCATCATTTCTGCAGGAGAAAGATGAGGCAGTCTGCTTTCCTAAAGACTTACAGCTCTGGAAACCCTCCAGGGCAGTTCTATTGTGTTCTATAGAGTCACTATTAGTCAGAATCAACTTGATGACAACAACTTTATTGTAATGTAATAATAATAATTAAAAAACTCACTGCCATCAAGTCATTTCCAACTCACAGAGATTCCCGTGGGGTTTCCAAGGCTGTCAATCTTTATAGAAGTAAATTGCCCTATCTTCCTTTACCAGAGCAGCTGGTGGGTTTGAACCACTGACCTGCCAGTTAGCCATCAAATGCTTTATCCACTATGCCACCAGAGTTTGTTAATGCATTATCTTAAGTTCTTGGACCAATGCATCATCAAACATTATCTTTATATTTTAATTCAAAATATTAAAACAGAGACAATTTAAAATCTGACTATTGTTAGCCTTGCTGTAGTGAATATCATGAATTATCTAGTTTACCTCAAGCAGTATTTTGCCAGGAAATTTAATAATAAATTTGTTTTCTCCTATTAAATCATGCTAACCCATGTTGAATACATTAATATCAACTACACTTACATATTTTCTTTTCTTTAAAAACTTTGAATATACTTAAAATGTATGAACTTTGCCACATTACAAATAGTTAGGCTAGGCTAGTGTCTGCTGTCTAGTCAGATCCGACTCACAGCAATCCCTCCTCGGGTTTCCGAGGTGGTATCACTATGGAAGTAGATTGCCCAATCTTCCTTCTGAGGAGTGGCTGGTGGGTTTGAACCACCAGCCTTCTGGTTAGCAGCCAAATGCCTTAGGCATTATGCTACCAGAGCGCCCCACAAATAGTTAATTGATTTTTTTTAACTTGCTCAATTTTCTTATTTTACATTGAATAGGATCCAGCTCTTAAACATGTTTCTAGAATGAAGATCTCAAAGCAAACATGAACTATTCCAGTCATGAACCAAAAACTAAACACACTGCTTTTGAGTCGATTCCAACTCATAGCGACCCCCATTGAGTTTCCGAGACTGTAAATCTTTATGGAAGTAGATCGCCCCATCGTCCTTCCACAGAGCATCTGGTGAGTTATGAACTGCTGACCTTCTAGTTAGCAGCTAAATACCTTATCCACTACACCACCAGACGCCATATGCATGAATGACTGTAGTAAATGCTTTTACTATTATCATAACTGCAATTACATGCAATTATTATCACTCCAGTGTCAATGCTGATTGTATCTAGAGGTAAATGTCTTCCACAATATATCCAGTGACACATCTTTTTGCTTTATTCGACCATGATTCAAATTATGAATATTGTCTGACTGAGTGAGAGGTGGAGCATAAGATTAGTCTTTTTGCTCAATTGACCAAATAATAATTTCTAAAATAATAGAAAAATAATTATGTTAAATATCCATAGAAAAACCTGGATAATTTGTGTCTGCTAACACTAAATAGAAAAAAAAAAAAAAATGATCAGTGTTACACAAGTGTGATTGTAAGGTAGTTTTGTAAGATAGTTTAAATCTTCAATTTTGCTGGAAATCAAATATTGTGTTCTGCCACATAGGCTACTTTAATTAGAGAAATTATTATAAGGATTGACCTAAAAGTAGTATTTAAAATCAACCACATAACTCAAGAATATTAGAAAATTCTAGCCATTGAACCAAGACAAAATAATTGAATGACTGAAACAAAAATCTCTTTGACCATTTGACCTGGCATCTGTATATTAGAGGTAAGAGTAAAGGCTTAATAGGAAGAGACAAGGTATACAACAAAAGTATAGAACAAATGCATAGCTTTATTATTTTTTTAATAAAGCAAACACATTACTTTCTAAATATTCCCATTTTAATAATTATGAATAGGGGAGCACCAGGAAAATTATATATCCTTTCTAAATTTGTAAAAATACTGCCACTGGCATCCTACCATATGAATGAGTAATGCAGTTATTTGTGAAACAATTTCTCATTCCCTCCCCATGTTAGAATAGCTGGAGAAACTCTTTGTTTGGGGCTTGCTTTGGAAGACACCAGAAGTATCATAAATCCTTTGCACATTTCTGGTATTTATTCCAAATGGGAACAGAATCATGTATAAATATTAGAACACTTTATGATCTGAAGAGTTAGCGCTGTCAGGAAGGCATTTTCAAATGTTGACAAAGGTTTATCTCCTGTTTATAAAGAATGTTCATAAATATAAGCATATTTGATAATTCTTGATACATTTTCTTAATACTTTTTTAGACATGTCATGTGATGAAATTTCTGTGTAATTTTTACTGTAATGGTATTTAAATCAGGGCAAAGTTTTAATTAAAAAATCTCACAGGATTTAAATTTTCCCATCTGATAGTGCTACCTTCATTATCTGTGAAATTGGCAAACTACGATTTTTAAACTAAGTCTAAAAATAGTAAAGGAAAACTTCATTCTCAATATTTTGCTTCTACTGAAAAGGAAAAGCCAACATTTTAGTACTGATAGATGAAAATATTATGATGTTCATAAATTGCCCAGAAGATTTGTTTCTGATGTATTTTATATAGCTATCCATGTCAGCCTGTGAATTAGAGTGTTTATTTTACATTTACCTTGACCAAATGAAGATGAGGAAGTGGGTTTTGTGAATATCAGTATCTGCAGTTGTTTTGTCTACAATGTAGAGGTTGGATCCTTGTCCCTGTGAAAAGGAACCTTTCAGCTCATTATCTTTCAGGCAAACAGGAGTGATGATGGGTATGAGGGTTAGAGATCGTTGTAGCTAAGATTTACTCATATTAGTTACCTGTCAAAAATACCTATCAGACTGGAAGTATTTGACATCATTAAAGGATCCAGGAAGTAGAATCAAATCAGTACTTACTTTGGAGCATAGTTGCATACCAAATAAACTGCACGTCTCCATACAGATCCCCAAACATTCATGTTTTGGCAAGTGTGAATTGCACATCCAATCCGATTGGAAGTGGCCCAAACCATCTGTGAAATAGACAAATATGCTATCAATGAAGTTAGAGCTAAGAAAACGCATGCCCACCAAAATAGCAAGATGATTTATTTTAAAGTATAAATCAAAAATTAACAAAGCAATCAAAACAACCTGTGTGTAATGTGTGCACATGGGCCCATAGCACCTCATAGGACATCTGGGGTTGCAATCCTGGGGATATGGAAATGCATAATCCTTCACTTCATCATACCATGGTTTGACCAACTGGACGATAGAACGGTATCTAGATATCAAGAAAATAAATGAGAACGTTCATCACAGCAGTGGTTATATATGACGGACTCATGTTAAATTGTGAATTAATTATTTTCTTTTTAAAGTTTACTCATGAACATACAAGAATATATCCATCCCTCATCATTACCATCACCACCTTGTAGAGTCCTCAATTCTTCCAAGCAGGACAGGCATGAAAATGTCCAGGGCTGGAGCATGTGAGTCTGTATTTGTCTAAGTATGATTCATTTTATTTTGAAAATAGAGATGCAAATATTTCAGGAATCATCATATATATTGAGTTCAATCCATGTCAAATTTTTCCTCCCTCAGAACTTTTCAAGCAATCAAAAATTATATATACAAATGTAACAAGACAGAGATACTAGAGAAACTTTGTGTTCTGGTTTTTTATTTTATTTTTTTTTTCTCCCCTTAAACCTGAAACACTCTAATGTTAACAACAAAGAAGCAAACTCACTGCTTTTGAGTCCAGTCAATTACAACTTATAGCCACCCCTCCTTGGGTTTCCAAGGTGGTATCTCTACTGAAGTAGGTTGTCCAATCTTCCTTCTGAGGAGTGGCTGGTGGGTTTGAACCATCAGCCTTCTGGTTAGCAGTCAAATGTCTTAAGCACAATACCACCAGCAACCAAAAAACACAATCATCACTGCCATGGAGTCGGATCCTACTCATAGCAACCCCTCCTTGGGTTTCCAAGGCAGTATCACTACGGAAATAGATTGCCCAATCTTCCTTCCGAGGAGTGGCTGGTGGGTTTGAACCGCCAGCCTTCTGGTTAGCAGTCAAGTGCCTTAGGCATTATGTCACAAGAGCTCCCAAAATTCCCCAGTTTTTAATACCAGCACATCTGAATTTCTTTCCTCAGTGGAAGAGAATGGGTCTTTGGAATGCTAAATAAAGACCTTCCACAGGAGTAGAAAAATTATCCTATCAACGACAACAGATTTTTCCATAGTTGCATATACCTTGTATTAGACTGGATGTAGTGCATAAGGCATTTGTCTGCTAACCAGAAGGTTCAAACCCACCAGCCACTCTGTGGAAGGAAGACTGGGCAATCTACCCTATAAAGATTTACCCCCTCAGAAACCCAAAGAGAGTTGCTGTGAGTCAGAGTCAACTGGATGGCAGAGGGTGTGGTTTTGTTTTGGTTTGTGTTGGACTGAGCCATCTCGCTGTGAGCCAAAACAGAAACAGAGTGTATACCTAGTTAATATCTATTGCAGTTTTACTAGGGAGCTCTGGTGGTGTAGTGCCTAAGGTATTTGACTGCTAACCAGAAGGCTGGTAGTTCAAACCCACCAGCCACTCCTCGGAAGGAAGGTTGGGCAATCTACTTCTGTAGGGATACTGCCTCAGACACCCCAGGAGGAGTCTCAAAGAGTCAGATACAACTTGACGGCAATGAGTTTGGTTGAATTGAATAGTTTTACTTGTTTTCTCACCTCACCTCTTCCCTCAAATCCATATTTTAGTACATTGAACACAAGAATGGCTCTTTCCACAGCCTACACATGTTTCCTAAGATGGAGGAGCCCGTTCATGTCAAAGATTCCACGAGGGCAGTGAAGAATGCAGGCTAAGAGAGGATGTTCCCAGAGTCAGAGAGGAAACTAGTCTTACCAGGCCCTTTTAACGAATTAAATAATTAAATAACTAATTAATAAAAACAATTAAATAATGTTTGAAACATCAAGAATATTCATAGGAAAGCATCAGCGCTTGAAACATAGTGAACACTCAATAACTATTTGCTGATACTACTTAAAATTGGTGTCCCTCCACTTTGGGCTTCATGAGTAAAAAAGTATGTGGATGAATTGAACCAAAGAAACTGCTACCTACCTTCCAGTTCTCACAGATAGATTTTGGCCCAAAAATCTCAGCAAGTAAGAAGGTCCGTGGTCCCAGATGCAAGTAGCTGCCCAAGCCTCTGCTGATTTTGCAAGATTTTCATCCCAAACCTGTGGAGGGAAAAATCTTCAGTTTTACAAGCTTTGCTAGTAACAAACAAAAAGGAAGGAAAGAAACAACGGGACCATTCTCTGGAATTATTTAATTCTGGTTTCCAAGACTATTTTAACTAAATAAGAGAAAATTCATACCACTGTTATTCCAAGTTCCATGAAACAATAGGAGTTCCAGGGTGGCACAAACGTTAAGTGCTCAACTACTTGCCCAGATATTAGTGGTTGGAGTCTATCCAGAGGAACCTCAGAAGGCAGTGCTAGAGATGTGCTTCCGAAAAGGTGCAGCCTTGAAAACGTTATGGAGCAGTTCTACTCAATGGCAACTAATAACAGTAACAACAGGGAGAGGCAGATATGCCACAGAAAAATCTCACTCTCTTTGTCATCTGCATCCAAAGTCTGGACATCAGTTTCAGTAAAGGATTTAATCAGTTCACTTTAAGTTGATTACAATTAATGACAACCACACATGTGTCAGAGTAGAACTGTGTGCCTTAGGATGCTCAATGCTGATTGTTCAGAAGTAAATTACCAGGTTTTTTCACCAACTCATCTCTAAGTGACTAGAACTTCAAACCTTTCAGTTAGCAGTTGAGTATAGTACATATTTTTGTTGAAGAGAATACTTTTAAATTAAGTTTTATATAGTTCAGTGGTATTATTTCCTATTGTTTATAATATTTTTATGTTTTATATCTGAAAATTATTTAAATTGTGACTAGTTGATGATTATTTTATATTTCAACAAGTAAGAATTTATGTGCAGAAAGAAGTGATAGTTTTATAATTACTCAAATTCACATGGCGCTTCATATGAGAAGGCATACACACACGCCCTTCCTTGATCTTAGTTTTCCTGTCTCATTTTTTTCATTTTTTGGCAACTCTCTCCACCAGCAGGCTGTGTGGAGCTAAAAAAGGCTTACCTAAATTAAAGTTAATAACCATGAACCATGAGTTCACTATAAGTTTTAAGTTTCAAGCAAACTTGTGGGACTGCTTGACCATGACACTAAAAAGGGCTTAATTTATCCCCAAGGATAATGGGATACACATAGCTTTATTTAATATTACAGTGTATTTAGGTCAAAGAAAATTGAGTGACTCTGAAATAATACAGAAAATAAAAGAGACACTTTCACCCCAGCAGGCTGTGGCAGCCAGTCTCGAAAGAAACATGTAATTTCATTACTCAGAATTTTTATTGTAATTAGAAAACAAACAAGCTTACAAAAATTGATGCAGTTTTGAATTAAAATGAACTCACAACATTTATATAAAATCAAAATGATTTAGAAGGATCTAGAAGACTTCTTGAGTCTCTGGGTGCTGCAAACACTTAAGGTTTTTGGCTGCTAAGCAAATGGTTGGGGGTTTGAGTCCACCCAGAGGGACCTGAGAAGAAAGGCCTGGTGATCTCCTTCTGAAACAACAGCCACTGAGAGGCCGAGGGAACACAGTTCTAATGTGACTCCCATTGAAGTCACCATGAGTTAGAACCAACTTGAAGGTAGTTGGTTTTTAGAGAAATTCTTTGGCGACAATGACCAAAATTTCATCATCCATATTAAAGAAAAAATTACCCGAGGAGCTTTCCTGAACTATCCAGAATATAGTCTGCCTGCCCTTCAGATTAAATTAAATGTAGTAAAACAACATGTGATTGCACTTTAATAATAAGAATCAATGTTCAATACATTATCAAAAATGGAAAACACAAATTCTATAAAATGTAAAGAGCTAGTGTCCAATTCCTTATGTATTTGTCTTTTCTTTTTCTTTGGGTTGATATTATGACTTTTTTAATAGTTATGACAAAAAGTTTTATCTTTTTTTTTTTTAATCAGCCAGCAAGTTTTTCATACTAAAATTAATTTTTTATTTACTTAGCTTGGTAAAATAAGCATTGATGTAGATTTTATGAATTATTACTTCAAATGTCTTTGTTTTTTCCCATAAAAATCTGAGCAAACTATATCAATGATAGAAAATATATTTATAATGAAAATCACAGCATTCAGGGACTAAAATCAACCTGAAAAAGCATTTTTTCAGCTGATATTGTATTTTTATAGTACTTATTCTTCTTATGTTGATATTTTTTGGAGTATTGATGAAATATGGAAACAACTCATAAAAATACAAAATAGCACATTTAATCCACAAAAGAATTTCAGATGTAGTAGCATCAACAAATCATGTTCCCTGAAAGGTTTTTTAACAAATTGCAGCCCTTTGGGAAGAAACACATACAAGCATTATTTGCTTATTTTCAAAGTATGCATTCAGATAAATAACTGATTTAAAAAAAAAACAAAAAACTTTCATATAGTCTTGTTCTAAAACATCCTCACAAAAATCAGCTGCTGTCAAGTTGATTTTGACCCCTGGGGACCCTTTGTGTGTCAGAGTAGAATTGTGTTCTATAGGGTTTTCAATTGGCTGATTGTTCACAAAGGATCACAAATAACCCTGCTCGAGAATCAAGATTCCTATATTCTAATCTGAATCCACAGTTAAGATCATCTGTGACTGAGAACATATCATTTATCGTATCTGTCTTTCAATTAACTCATCTTTTACATAGATTGCATGAGATCATCTCTAGGCTCCTTTCATCTTCAGATTGTCATTTTTTAAGAGAGGTTTCAGCATCAGGGCCAGAAAGAGTTAAGTCATATTGGTCTATGATTTGCTTAGTTCTGGCCCTTTCCACACCATAGCAAATCCACACCATAAATAAATCTGGATCATTTTCAAAATAATTAAAGATATTTAATGTGCAAAATTTAGAAAGGAATTTAGCACACATAACCCTACTTTTGGTGTCCCGGGTGCTGCCAGATGATACTCTTGGCTGCTAACGCACAGGTTGGTGGTCAAATCCACTCAGAGGCACCATGGAAGGCCAGGCCACGTACTTCTGAAAAATCAGCTACCAGAACCACATGCTTCATAGTTCTACTTTCACACACAAAGACTTGCTGTCAGTGAGAGTAAACAGTAACTGAGATGATAAGAATACTATCTTTATACTCATTTATACATTTAAAAATTTAATATTGTGGATGTAAAAAACAAACCGAAAGGTTCCAATTAGAAAAATGTCTTGTAATTGCATCCTTTGTTGACTTTTTCAGAAGAGATTTTGATACACAGAAAATTTGGTCAGCATTATTGATTCTCAAGTAGGTTGACCTTGTTTAAATATCGTGAATAAAATTTTGGAAAATATACTGAATTGGTGGATGGGGGTTGAGGTAACCTCTTTCTCCCCCATTGTAGGGAAGTAAAACCACTTGCTATGTAGTCAATTCCAACTCCTGGTCACCCCATGTGTGTTAGGATAGAATTGTGCTCTGTAGGGTTTTCATTGGGAAGCAGATTGTCATGCCTTTCTTCTGAGTCACCTCGGCCACTCAAACTGTAAACGTTTGGTTAGCAGCCAACCACATTAACCATTTGCCTGCCTCTACCTCCTTGCAGGAAAATGCTGTAGAGTCTGATTGGCTCCCACAGATAGTGCATCACTTGTCCTCTATGTGGGAAAAGTGATCTACTCTCTTCCTGTAGTGCCCACTGCTGGAAAAGGTCATAGGGCACTGCACTTTTTCTTGTCTTTTTGTCTCCAGGCAGGATTCAAATCTCTCATAGAGAGAGGAACTCCAGTAGCAAACACAGAAATTTGAGGGTTACACTGTATCCACTGGTAACATTGACAGTGCATTTGCTGTCTTTGTTGCTTAGAACTCCCAGGAGAATATGGGTAAGTGATTTATCCTCTTAATCTCCAGTAGTATATGAATTTATTAATATGATGAGGTGTTTGTGGTTTGAAAATAATAAGCAATTATAATTATATTTAATAATTATAGGAATTTACAGAAAAATCTTTGGATTCTGGAGGAGTGGACCAATATGAAATATTCTTTCATCTCCAGTATGTCAGGAATTCCTAGGTGGTACAAATAGTGATGTGATGGACACTAGTTGGCAGTTTGAACCCATTCTGAGGTACCTTACAAGCAAAGCTGGCAATCTGCTTCTGACAGGTCACAGCCTTGAAAATCCTGTGGAGCACCAGTCCACTTGGACACACGTAGGGTCTCCGTGAGTCAGAATCCACTTGGCAGCAGCCACCAACCAGCTGAAAGATTGGTGCTTTGAACCTAGCCAGCAGTGCCTCAGAAGACAGGCCTGGAAATCAGCCTGTGAAAGGTCACAGCCTTCAAAACCCTATGTGGCAGTTCTAGTCTGCATACATGGGGTTGCCATGAGTCAAAAGATACTAGAAATATTAATTTTGCAAACTAAAATTATCTCTGAAAGATCTATTCTTCACATGGAAACCAATCCCAAAGACATAAAATACTGGTAATAAAATATCACACTTAAAATTTTGGGGGATTTCTAAATTGATTTTGTCATGAATGTTATGATAGCAATGGTATAGAGGAGAGTGTAGCATATTCAGCAGACATTTATTTCCTTGGACATTTATGTAATAATTTCTCATATATCTAGTAAAAAGTAAGGACATTCTACATAAGCAGGCTTTTTAAGCTTTTTACATATGTTGTTGTGGTTGTTGTTTTTAAGCTTTTTACATATGTTGTTGGAGTCATCTCTGACTCATAGTGACCCTATGCACAGCAGAACAAACACTGCCCAGTCCTGTGCCAGCCTCACGATCTTTGATATACCTAAGCCTATCATTGCCGCCACTGTGTCAATCCATCTTGTTGAGGGTCTTCCTCTTTTTCGTTGACCCTCCACTTTACCAAGCATGATATCTTTCCCTAGGGAATGGTTCCTACTGACAACATGACCAAAGTAGGTGAAACAAAGCCTGGCCATTCTTGCTTCCAAGGAGCATTCTGGCGGCACTTCCTCCAAGACAGATTTGTTAGTCCTTTTAGTAGTCCTTTTAGCAGACCATGATACTCAGCATTCTTCTCCAACACTGTGATTCAAAAGCATCAGCTCTTCTTCAG